GCTGACGACTCAGTGCTGTGGAAATTTAGATCCTCTCCACCCCTTGCGGTGGGCTCCAGAAATGATATGCTCAACCGCATCCTGGCTGTGAGCAGTGCTTCTAACCAAACCCCTACTGGTGGAAGGCAAACTGGGGCTCTGTCCATCTGCAATCCCTTTGGGCTATGGTCGCAGGAAACTTTGAATGATAACACAGTAACGGGCAGCCACGAGTCATTCAGCTGTTATGCTTGAAATGGATCAGATTTGCCAAAACTTCTGGATCGGTGAGTGTCGGACTCGACTATGGAGATGCCTCCGACTGGGAAACAGTCAAAAGCTGGAATGTGGGGTGTATGTGTGTGTGGAATGTGAGTGGTGACTCCTGTGCTCACGAACTGTGGTGGCTGAAGGTCTGGGCTGTGGGACAAGAACCTGCTATATCTGAAAAGTGCTGGTGAAGCACCGACGATGAGGCCCTAATTGCCTCTGAACTAGCTCAAGCACCAATGAGCAACCCCTAACTGCCTCCGAACTGGGATAAGCACCGACGATGAAGCCCTAATAGTCTCCGAACTGAGATAAGTGCCAACGATGAAGCCCTGAGCACTTCTGACTGGAATGAGCACCGATGACAAACTCCTGGGTGCTAGCGAGGCTACGGGGTCCAATGGGGATGGAATCCTGGTTTGAGACTTGTGACTGCTGGCGTGCGAGTGAAATGGAATGGCGTGAGATACAAGAACGGGATAACGTGACTTATCTGGCTGAAACCTGAGTCGAGCTAGAGGCCACTGCTGAGAGTGCTGCCTCTCTCAGTGTCGAGAATCCCAGAGACATAAAACATGATTGCAATAAATGTAGACATGGTCGGGCACAATGTCCTAGCATAGACGAGATAAGAACTGAGCGCTGCTGGGCGGTGAACTCCGAGTAAAAACTCTCCTTTTTTCATATTCCTATGTACAGTGTAGATTATATAGTGGATCAGAAATGAGCCAGCTGAGTCGCTGAAATGCATTTCCGATCATACATTGTGTTTCCGATCCATTGAAACCTGTCGCAAAGCTCATCCCTGCCCCCTCTCCATATTATACAGTCGGGGAACTGGAAGTCCGGCCCTGCCAGGGTCTGTCAGTTTGCTACCCTGTCTTCCATTCAGTTAGTGCACTTGCTCATTTCCGGGTTGCCTAACTGGTCGTGTTCCACTCTCACACTGCACTTCGTAATCGGCTATGCTTCCTCGTGGCTCGCTGGTCATTTCCATGCCTCATGTTCACCTTCTGACCCCTTCACACAGTTCTGTGTTCCCAGGCTGTCAGTAAAGTCTTCTTTGCCCACTCTGAACTGTTTCGGCTTGGTGTTTGTCTTTCCGGATCATGGCGACTCCCTATCTGATTTTGCGATAGTCAGATGCAGTTTCTGGCATTTTTCGATTGCAGAATATCTCAGTGCATATCAGCGTGCACTCTCGAGTGCCAGAATTATCATCACGAAGCATTGAAACTGTCTCAAAGGTGATGTTGTAGAGGCTTTCCAGATCCTCAAATGTGCATATAAGAAGAATCTCCTTTACCATGACTTAGGGCCATCATCATCATCTGAGGAGGAACTGAATAGCTATCAGGAGGGCAAAGGCAGCAAGAATCCTGCTATTTGTGAAGCAGAGCTTGACATAGAGTTGAACACAGACTCCGAGGAGCTCAATGATGACTTCACAGACAGTTCGGCATGGTTGAATGATGATTACATGTAGATTATCTATGTATATACATCGTTAACAGAACTCAGATCGAAAGAATGGTGCCCTGCAACAAGCCTGGAGCTTAGGCCAAGCCAGGCCCGAGCCAAGCCCGAGCCTCCTATGCTGAGCCCAAGCCTGGGCTTTCAGGCTGAGTCGGGCCCTGAACATCACTATGTGGAACTGTAAATCTCACATGCTGGGATGTGGCTGGGACCGTCAATCTGACGTCCATAATATCCAGAAATTACAAACACGATCACAAGCCCAGCTAATTCATGTCACTCAATCTATAGGTCCAGCTCATCTCATATCATGATCCCATCACTTAAATATGAACATGTCTGTAACCTGGCCATCAATCCCAGTTCTGTCCAGTATGTGTTCACTATAATAGAACTCCGCGATCCTCTACTGGAACTAGACATGTTCTCATTGCTCTAGGGCTGATAGGGAACATCATCACCAAGGCTCGAGATGGCTCTGTCTGCTGTGCTGTCATCCATGAATGCTCCACTGGGCAACAGCTTAGACAAGGCCCGATGAGTCGAAGATAATGAGCTCAAGATGTACATCATTGTAAGACCTTTGAGCAAGATCAGCTTTGCTAGTGGCTATCGAAGGTATCACGAGTTGAGCAGCACAATCGGTGGCAGCAGTCCGATTTGCATGATCGGCAATTATAGCAAACACAGAAACAAGTTGCTATCAAGACCATCAACAGAGCAGGCCTCAGTCCGAAGCTATTCGAAGAACCTGAAGGGCGAGATTGAGATTATGAAGACACTGTTACATAGACATATCACGAAGTTGCTGGACATTGTCGTATGTGATTCATTCAATGTAATTGTGGGGTGAACGACAACTCTTCACAGCTTACAGAATGGAATATCTACCTCATAATTGATCCAGCTCAGCACCGATGTATTACCCGCATCTGCAAACAGAAGGGCTTGACGAGATCATTGAGCACAGTTTTCTGCATCAATTGGGTTAGCGCCACATTCACTCACAATGTTTGCCCTAAAACAATGCAGCACAGACTCTTACCTCAATGATGGTAAGATAGGATCCCACAGAACTCATCTTCCTTCTCATCCATATATCTCAGGCTTCATCCTGGACAAGACAATTGGCATCTAAAGTCCGAAATGTCTTGAGAACACAAAGATCCTCATTGCAAACACCAGTGAGTACTCTTCAGCAGTATCACGTTGAAGTCATGAGAAGCTGATAACTTGCCCAGTGATGGACACTGATGACAATAAGGTCTTCAGCATGCATGTCAAGGTGAACAGCACTGGAAAGTTCATGGAATTTGAGCGTGCAGAATGGGTACGATTAGCTTTGCATGATTTTCTGTGGCTCAAAGCTCATTGCTCACTGCAAGTGCAGGAAAAGATGAAGAACAAGATCGACATGATCACTGCGCATGGCATCAACTATTTTATGAACTGGCAGCTCATCTACAATTATCCTGAGTCACTGCTCACAGAGAAGGGCATCGTCACGATCGAGCATGCTGACTTTGAGGGCTTTGAGCAATTATTGCCCGTCACTGGCAGCTAGATCTCGAGCACATCCAATGTGCCAGAGGAAGTAAAGCTTGGACATTATGAGCTGATTGAGGGAATCATGTTCAGGGAGGACAAGGTGGGCCCTCATGCATTATATCTGACAGTCCAGAGAATTGAGCAAACTACAGCTCATCAAGTTCTCTGGTGTTGCAGTGGGTGAGGCATGTGCAGTTATGCTGCATGGCTCGACATCGCAAATGGTCGACGAGGTGGAGTGCTCACTGCATGATGCACTGTCTGTGCTCTCACAAATGGTGAAGGAGATAGGATCATGCTCAGCTGTGAATGCTCAGAGATTCTATCGAGTTGTGTGGTTGATGAGGAGGTGCAGAGAATCATGG